GCTCACTGCCCCCCAAAATGGACCCAGCTGAGGGGTCCTGTTCTCTGTACCTACAAGCTCTGTTTTAGACCATGTTCCTGTCATCTAATAAACCTCTGTTTTACTGGCTGGCTAAGAGTCATGTCTGACTGCGAAGTGGGGGTGCAGGACCCTCTTGCTTCCCCAGGACCCTGCCTAGGCGGACTCACTGTGGGAAGCGCATGGAGGGGCAGAGGATGCTGAATGCTCCAACATCAAACCCAGGAAGGTGGAAACCGTGGGAGCTGCTTGCCCTGGAGATAGTCTGCTCCCAGAGAGGAGACTTCACCAGAGTCCTGACTGGCTTTGTAGGGAGCAGTTCCAGAGCATCGCCCGGGGACTCCATGACACTAAGTCAGTTGGTGTATTTAGGCCTCTGATGGTATCCACCTTATCAGTTCTGTCTAGACTGTAAGTGAAGGTAACAGAAGTGGGATATTGGAGAGATGCTGAATGTCAGCTGTGGTGCAGTTCTCTAAACTAGTCAAGTTTATCCCCTACCTGAGGCTCTCTGACCAAATCATTCCTGACGGTGAAGCCAAACACAAATATTACATGATGTAAAAAGCTTACAGGCTTCCTCCAGCACACACACTCTCTCTCTCTCTCTCTCACCCACACTCCTCTTTACCTGTAACACTCCCCATACCTGCTCTCCCAACAGCTCCGATCTGGGTGTCCATTCCCCACCCTTGGTATCTCGGCTGAACAGGAGGACTTTGCCTGTGTCTTGGCATAGAGGGGCCCCGACCATGTAGGTGGTCTGCCCATTGGCTGTGATGACCAGAGATGAATAACCTCAAAGGAAAAGAGAGACATGGGGAGGTGACATGGGAAACAGCCATACAACAGCGTGATGGAACACCCCGTCTGGGATGCCACCTGATGTACTGGGTTTCACTGAGCCTCTCCTGCTCCACCAGCCTGGATTTCCTCTCCCTGTTTTGCTGAATTAGGCTCTCCGGTTATGCAGCACACACACACAGGTAGGGCCACACCTAGCGCCAGACACAGACTGAAGTCAGCTCTATGTGAGAGGTCTCACCTGGAACTCACGTGCACACCCTTTGGGGAAATAAACTCGAAATAATACTGTCTTACACTGTACAGAGAGATCTGCACAGTACAAGCTCCTAAAAATTCACCCTCTCCCTCAATGTGGAGAGAGATGTGCACTGCTTCTTGCACCCTCCAGGTATGAATTGCACAAACTGGGTTATACTATAAACAGGAAATAACTTTATTAATTACAAAAGGTAAATTGTAAGTGATTATAAGGGAAAGCAAACAGAATAAAGCAGATTACCTTAATAAATAAATAAAACCTGCAAACTGAGCATAACACACTAGACTGGTAGGATACAAATTAGCAGATTCTCACCCTGAGTGATAAACAGGCAGCACATTCTTAAGGCACAAGTTGCCTTGGCTTTCCCAGATTTTCATACTCAGGCTAAAAATCCCTCTAGCCTAGGACCATCACTTCCCACAGTTCAGTCCTTGCCTCTCTGATATTTCCAGGTGTGTTGTTGTAAGGAGAGTGAGGTCCCGCATGAGATCCCCTTTTTATATCTTCTTCCAACTCACTGGAAAGCTCTTTTGCTGTGACCTGGGCCAAACAGTTCCCGTTGTGTAGTGCTATCTCTGAGAAGTTTTGTACTGTACCCACTTCCTGTGTAATCCGTGTGCTTATGTGCATTTATTCTATAAGCCATTAACACTGTTTGGCCATTTAAACATTGTACCTGAAAGGCTTCTTGTGGGTGTTGTGAACTTCACCACATGTCTCAGTAACACATACATAGCCAAACTTCATCATTTCACATAGAACGATAACACATACAATACAATGAGATTAATGTTCAGCAGATCAAGACTTTTAGAATAATCCCTCCCAAGACATACTTTGTACAAAACATATCCTAATTACATGATAGTGGTGAATATTAGGGTGTCAGGGTGTCATAAACAGTGCTACACAGAGATCCCTTCCCCAGAACTAAGATGCAGCCACCTCTGGGGTAAGGAGCAAGGGCTGTTTAAATAAGTAAGGGGAAATCTTTGGGTTTGTTCTTACTGAGGCAAGCATCATTCATGTCCCCAGAGGTTCTGGATATGTTGATTAAACTCAGCTTCCCATTGCTCCCATACAGGTATATCCCACTGGACCAGTTATAGGCTCCCACCGCTCCCAGCTCTGGATTCCCAGCAGCTCCCCATCCCACAGAATCATAGAATATCAGGGTTGGAAGACACCTCAGGAGGTATCTAGTCCAACCCCCTGCTCAAAGCAGGACCAACACCAACTAAATCATCCCAGCCAGGGCTTTGTCAAGCTGGGTCTAAAAATCTCTAACAATGGAGATTCCACCGCCTCCATCGGTAACCCATTCCAGTGCTTCACCAACCTCCTCGAGAAATAATGTTCCCTAATATCCAACCTAGACCTCCCCTACTGCAACTTGAGACCATTGCTCCTTGTTCGGTCATCTGCCACCACTGAGAACAGCCGAGCTCCATCCTCTTTGGAACCCCCCTTCAGGTAGTTGAAGGCTGCTATCAAATCCCCCTCACTCTTCTCTTTGTCAGACTAAATAAACCCAGTTCCCTCAACCTCTCCTCATAAGTCATGTGCCCCAGCCCCCTAATCATTTTTGTTGACCTCCATTGGACTCTTTTCAATTTGCCCACATCCTTTCTGTATGGGAGGCCCAAAACTGGATTCAATACTCCAGATGTGGCCTTATCAGTGTCGAAGAGAGAGGAATAATCACTTCCCCCATCTGCTGGCAATGCTCCTACTAATGCAACCCAATATGCTGGCCATCTCAACCTTGAAAACCAATTGCTAAAGCCCCAGGACCACTGTAGTCCCTGCCCCAGCTCTGTTACCTTTGAAGGTGCAGATCTTCTTCTGCAGCTGGTTCTGGATGCCCTGGAGGGCGTCGAAATTGTCCACCCGGAAGACGTGCTCATCAGTGGGCTCAGAGGCGATCTCCTGGAGCTCCTGTTGGGCAGTATCACTGGAGAAGGCCTCACCGACCTTAATGGAGTAGAGGGAGGTACAGGGGGACCAGGGCATTGGAGTCAGTCACAGCCAAGAGCCGTGGTCCAACAGCCACTTTCCCCGAGCCCTGCTGTTGCTGCGGTGAGTGTGTTTGGGGGGGGCGGGGGGGGGCGCTGGAGCCTGGAGCTATGGAGCCTGCCTCATTTCAGCACCGAGTTGTGTTGGTTGTATCAGCAGCAGGGCACAGGGGTCTCCTTGCCATGGGGATTGTCAGCACTCTGGGGCCCTGCATGACTCAATATCCAGGGTGTAGTGAGGGGTGAGTGTGGGCAATGTCTCCGGGGGATGTATCAGGGCAAGGAGTGAAGGGCTGGGACCACCGCGCTAGTCTGGGAGGGTTGTGTGCAGTCTGTTCAGCGGTAGAGTCAGGCACCTCCCGGTCACTAGGCCCAACATAAGCAGCAGACAAAGGTCTAATACAGGGGTAGGCAACTTATGGCACACATGCCGAAGGCAGCACACAAGCTGATTTTCAGTGGCACTCACACTGCCCAGGTCCTGGCCACCGGTCCGGGGGGCTCTGCATTTTAATTTAATTTTAAATGAAGCTTCTTAAACATTTTTAAAACCTTATTTACTTTCCATACAATAGTTTAGTTAAATATTGTAGACTTATAGAAAGACCTTCTAAAAACGTTAAAAATGTATTACTGGCACGCGAAATGTTAAATTAGAGTGAATAAATGAAGACTCGGCACACCACTTCTGAAAGGTTGCCGACCCCTGGTCTAATAAGATCCAATGGCTGGAAGCGGAATTTACACCCATTCAGATTGGAAAGAAGGTGTCAGGTTTAACCGTGAGGGGAATTAACCATTGGAGCAGCTCACCACAGGTTGTGGTGGATTCTCCATCCCTGGACATTTTTAACTCAAGACTGGCTGGTTTTCTAAAAGATCTGCTCAGGTTCCAACAGGGATTATTTGGGGTCACTTCTCTGGCCTGTGCTACATGGGAGCTCAGACTAGATGATTGCAAAGGGCCCTTCTGGCCTGGGAATCTATGACTCTAAACCCGAGTTTGTTGATGAAAGGCAGCTTACGTTGACCTAACTCTGTAAGCGGCTACACTAAAATGTAGCTCCCACCCATGTAACTCGCCCACTACACCGACTTCATAACTCCTCTTCCACAAGAGGCGTTGCTTTTAGCTCAATGTCGTTAGGTTGATGCAGTGTCCATATAGGCACTGTGTGGCTTACATAGCCTGAGACTCCGGCTGTTGGCCCCAGGCAGTGGGTCTTCAGCCGCACAGTGCCCGACACGGACAGTTAAGTCAGTACAAGGTCCCCTAGTGAGGACGCACACCGCTGACAGGAGAGCAACGTGGACATGAAAAACTGATTTAATTACTGCGGTGGCTGTGTGACGACGTAAATTAATTCGACTTAAGTGTGTCGTGTAAACTTGCCCTTTGTCTTGCTGCTGATGCCCATTTCAATCTCTTTGGCTCAGCAGTTTAAGGGAGATAAATGTCAAGTGACTGACACCAGTTTGGGGAGGATCAGAGCTGTTTGAGCACCGGGGCTGCGCAAAAAAGACTTTATAAGAACTGAGCGACTTTGCTGTTTAACTGGGGGGGGGGGAGGCTGTATCTCAGAAACCCCTTGTTCAAAAGATCCAAAAATTCAGACCACTAATCCTAACCTGCATCCCCACGAGGAATACCAAAATTCATGGCAATCTGAGTCAGCACATGGACTGTAGGGCAGTCAGAAAACCCAACCTTTTACTAGAAAGTGCCGCTCAACCTGAACCACAGAGGAGCTCCAGCTTTCCTATAATGTCACACATTGGCCCAGTTACAACCCAGGGGGTCAGTTCTTCTCCCTTATGTGATGGGAACCCCCTCCCCATCCCCTGTCCTTGGACACGGGCTCAGATCCATACTAGTTCTCCGCACGGCCGCAGCTCACCCCGATGGCGTAGCGGATGATCCCAGCTCTCTCAGCCTCAGGTATGGCATCTGAATAAGAAAGTGGGTCATTGTATTTCTCCCCATCTGTGATCACAATGAGAACCTTGGTGGCTTCATCCCGAGCGCCTCTCCCAGAGGTGAACAGCTCCCGCCTGGAAAAGGGGTGGGTGGGGAATGCATGGGAGGATTATTGATACATAACAACACCTAGCACTTGTCCACTGCTTTGGCATTGCCGATCTCAAAGTCCTTTACAAAGGAGGTCACTGTTATTGCCTCCATTTTACCAATAGGGAAACTGAGGCACACTGAGGGTCTGTGACTTGCTCAGAAGCTCAGAGCTGGCAATAGACCCCTGGAGTCCTTGCTCCCAACATCTCCCTCCCCACTCTAACCTACTAGTGCCCACTCCCCTCCCATGGTCAGGCACAGAGCCCAGGAGTGATGCCCAGTCCCCCTGCTCTAACCACTAGTTCCGAATTTCTTCCCACAGCTGGGGATAGAACACAAGAGTCCTGAGTCCCTGTCCCTTAGCTCACCTATCCTTACAGTCCATTCCCTGTGGAGTCAGCACGGGGAGCAGGGCAATACCTACACCACTTTCCGGATGGCTGTGGCCGTGTACGTCGTTCCATGAAGCTGCTCAACCCCCTGGAGAAGGTGATTAGGGTCACGACTCTTCCTGTACTCCATGAAGTCGAAGTGCAATTCAAATTTATTGGAGTACTGCATGAGGGCGAACTGCAAGGGGAGGCAGGGGAGAAGAGAGAAAAACAACCCAAGGGATGGAGGGTTAGAAAAGCAGAAATCAGACTCAATTAAAGACTGGGGCAGGCGGTCGGGACGTAGTTGACTCTGCAGGAATTTTTTCCTGGTTTTGGATGCAAAATCCTTTACTGCTCCTGTGATGCTGCACTCTATATGATTTTATAAAAATATGCTAATGAATGCGAATATAATGGAACTGGGATACGCTTCGTGCAAAAGGTCTCTTGTAAGGTATCATTACAAAGCTTATAATCTACTGAGTGTGGTCATCCTATTTGTATGTATTTATCATTCTTGTATCTGAAACTAGAAATATAACTCTGAGGGCCTATTGTAATTATGCAAAGTGTGGGCCATTAATGGTGGTTTGGAATCTTGATGGCTCCCATCAACCAGGGCAACTGACTGTGGATGGCTGGGAGAAATGAAGGCTTGGGGTCTCACAGGATATGTGACTATGTCACCTGGTACTGAAATCCATCTTTCACCTGGTGCTTTTCCATTTAGAAAGAGGAGTGGGGACCCAGAGAGGGACAAAGGATTCCCGCCTCGTGCAAAAGCCATATAAGGGGGTGGAACAGAACAAAAGGGGCTGTAATCAGGAGAAATCTTCTAGCTACCACCTGAGCTGGAACAGGGCTGTACCAGGTGAAAAGATTGTGCCCAAACTAGGAAGGCATCCAGTCTGTGACAGAAGCTTATTGAAACATCTGAGGGTGAGGTTGTATCTGTATTCAGTTTTCTTACTGTACTAGGCTTAGACTTGCGTGTTTTATTTTATTTTGCTTGGTAATTCACTTTGTTCTGTCTGTTACTACTTGGAACCACTTAAATCCTACTTTTTGTACTTAATAAAATCACTTTTTACTTATTAATTAACCCAGAGTATGTATTAATACCTGGTGGGGGGGGGCAAACAGCTGTGCATCTCTCTCTATCAGTGTTATAGAGGGCGAACAATTTATGAGTTTACCCTGTGTGACAAAATGGCCAATGTTAGTATGGTGGGTCTTTCGCTTTCCTTAACAGGGGGCTAAGATACCACCTCTTGCCCCTGCTCTTGGGCACTAAGGGCCCCCACTAGTGGCCTGGGATGGTGGTAAAGGAGGGAAGCAGAGGCAGCCCCTCTCAATCCCTGTGGGTTCTTACCCTCTTCCCCCTTGGGTGGGGTACTTTCAGTCCTTAAACTCTGAGGAAGGGAGTCTCCCTCCCCTGTTGGGGCAGGGTCTCCCTTACTTTGGGTCTCTGATCTTTCAAGTCTTACTGCACACCTCCACGCTCCAGTCCTGTCTCCTTCTGCCTGAAGCAGGGGGTTTTATTAGGTTCCTGACAGGGCCTTAATTGACTGCAGGTCCTCCAATTAACCTGTAGCCATGCTCCCGAGTTTACAGGGAACCATGCCTTAATTAGCCTTGGGCTTATATATTTCCCCTCTACCACTCTCCCACTGCTCCCTGGCCCTCCCTTATTACATCTGTATAAGCTTTATACAGGTAGAATGGATTTATTCGGGGTTTGGGCCCATTGGGAGCTGGGTATCTGAGTGTTGGAGACAGGAACACTTAAGCTGTTTTCAGTTAAGCCTGCAGCTTTTAGGGGATGTGGTTCAGATCTGGGTCTGTGTTGTAGCAGGCTAGCATGTCTGGCTCAAACAAGGCAGGGTTCTGGAGTCCCAAGCTGACAGGAAAACGGGCTCAGAGGTAGTCTCAGCACATCAGATGGCAGTCCCAAGGGGGTTTCTGTGACCCAACCCATCACAGCTCCCCTTGCAGCACAGCGCCCCCTAGTGCTGCACTGGAGTATTGGGGTCAGCACTGACTGCAACAGGCAGAGTAAATAGTCAGGGTTCAGCCTGTGCCCATTACCTGCGTGTCAGTGCTGTCGAAATGCTTCATGATTTCAGCGAGAAACGTCTTCATCTTTCCAAAGTCCACAGGTGCGATGCTGCCCGAGCCGTCGACGAGGAGCGCTATGTCTGTGACTTGTTTGGGGCACTCTGAGAGGGACAGGAATGAAGTACGTCCTGACTCAACTCCACAAACGTGGGAAACCCATCAGAAAGAGCTAGACCAGACCAATGGGCGCATCTAACCTGATATCCTGCCCCCTGCCAGCCACCTCGATCAGACCCCTCGGCCCCTCTGTCGTAACATCATCCCTTCCCTGCCATGGAGAGGTCCTGAGAGTAGAGCATGACATGCACTGGGATGAAAAAAATGCATGCACCCCACCCCCCTCCCAGAGCTGGGGACAGGACCCACGAGTCCTGTCTCCCAGCAGCCCCTGCTCTAACACAACAGATCCCACTCCCCTCACTGAATAGGGGACAGAACACAAGGAGTCCTGACTCCCAGCTCCTAATGACATCCTGAATCAAACCAATGAGCCCACCTAGACTGGTATCCCACCCCCTATCAAACCCTGGACCCCTCTAGACCCATCTCCCCTCCACCTCCCCATGGTCTGTGTACCCACCCGTGAACCCAGGGTGTAAGTTCCCCCCATACACACCCCTGTGTCACCCCTTACCCAGCTGGGTGTCCAGGATGGGCTGGAGTTGCGAGAAGCTCTGCTGCAGAGGGAAGCAGTAGTGACTGACGTACATGTTCTCCCCACAGGCCCGGTGCACCATGGGGCCGCACACCTGAGGCACAAGAAGGCACGGGGTCAGTAGGTGCCCCTCTGAACGGAGCACTGAGGGTGGGGAAGAGAGCCTGATGCCTGATACCTTCCCCCGCACCCCATGGATAGGCAGGGCAAGGCCCTGCCAGGGCCGGGGCCTTCTTGGGGCAGACGGGACCTCATGACCCCAGGTCCCAGCACCTAACTCAGAGAGATGACAGGGGAGACACATGGGGGCATCACCTGCTTACCACACTCCCTGCTATAGTAGTGTCCAGGCACTGTTGCCATGGCAATGTCACCCGCTTGCCATGCTCCCTGCTATGTCCATGCAAAGTCACTGTCGCCATGGCGGCAACCCAGTTACAACGCTTCCTGCTACCTCAGCACAGTCTCTGTCACCATGGCAACATCAGCCAGTTGTCTCCATCCCCCACAACATCACCTCACAATCACTGCAGCCAAAATGAGGATACCTGGCTACCACCATTCCCCACTGCATCATTGTACCACCCCTCCAGTTACAGGAGTTACCAACAGCCCTTGCACAGTTATCATGTAGTCATGGGGACGTCACCCAATTGTCACCTCTGCACCAGTCACACTGACACCACCCAGTTACTACCATCCATGAGTAGTGGGGTTTTGGGGGGAGGGGGAGCTGTCCCCTGGAATGATGAGGGAGAAAATGTCAGACCCCAATCCCAGAACCCATTTCTGCTGGGTGTGGTACCTACCAGGAACTGGGAGCCTTGGGCAGCCAGAGACAAACTGAGGGACATGTACATGGCATCAAGGGGCCCTGAGAGGGGAGAGATGCACACCAGGGTGAGTGAATAAACTCCATTCCTGTCCCAGAACGGAGGATATAACCGAGAATTCCTGACTCCCAGCTATAACCACTAGACCCCTCCCCCCCAGCTGGGGATAGAACCCAGGAGTCCTGGCTCCCAGCCCCATCCCACCCCCGCTTTAAGCCACTAGACTCCCCTTCCCTCTCAGAGCTGGTGACAGAACCCAAGAGTCCTGGCTCCCACCCCAATCCTATTGCTGCACCCCACAGCATAGGGTGCCCCTACTCTGGGTGGAGATCTCCTGGCAGCGTCTGGAGCCCGGGTCGCACTTGTAGACTTTGCCGGTTTCATTCACGTTTCCTGTCTGCAGTGAGGCCCCGACGATCAGCCTGTGGGGAAAAAGTATGGGGGGCTCAGGGGATGCCCCACACTGCCAGGGGACTGAGACACAGGGGAGGCAGCACAGACATGCCAATCAGTGTTGGGCACAAGTCATGTGGGGTCCCATGTCTGGCCCTTACCCTCCGACTCTGGCATTCCCGAACTGCAACAAGCTCTGCCCAAAGCCCTCAACTTCCTCCTGGAAGGTGATGGGTCCTTCCACGTCCACGCTGAATCCATGGCTCGGTGCCAGCACTGCAGGGGTTAAACAGTCTCCAGTTAGAGCTTCCCCTATGAAGACCAGGCCAGTGGTTGGGGCTTTCTGGCTATGGGACTGAATTCCAGCCTGCTACTCTAACCCACCAAATCCCACTCCTCTCCCAAAGCCAGGGATAGAACCCAGGCGTCCTGACTCCCAGCTCCTCACCACCTGCTCCCGGCTGTCTAGCCCTCAAGGGCTATTTTATGTAAATCATTCCCCACATTCATTTGCATAGTGCCACTGCCAGACACTCCCAGAATAGAGTGCTACCAAATTCAAAATCCATTTTGGTCAATTTCATGGTCAGAGGATTTTAAAATTCGGAAATCTCATCATTTCAGCTCTTTAAAACTGAAATTTGATAGTGTTGTAATTGTAAGGGTCCTCACGCAAAAGGAGATGTGAGGGTGGGGTGGTCGAAAGGTTATTGGGGCGGGCTGTATCACTGCTACCCTTAGTTCTGTGCTGCTGCTGATGACGGCACTGCCTTCAGAGCTTGGCATCTGGCCAACAGCCATTCCTTTCTCACCGCCCAACTCTGAAAGCAGCACAGAAGTAAGGGTGTCACTACTGTGACCCCGCTAAAATAACCCTCTGACTCCCCTGCAACACCCTTTTGGGTCAGGACCCCCAGTTTGAGAAATGCTGGTCTCCTCCATGAAATTTGTATAGGATTAGGTAAACGCACATAAAAGACCAGATTTCACAGTCTGGGACATATTTTTCGTCACCGTGAATTTGGCAGGGCCCTAATCATGAGTGGATTCCGCGCTGGTGAATGAAGTCTTAGATTTATCTCCATCTGCTTTCCTGATGCTGATGCATAGCGGATGCGCTTCCTGTATGGACAGAAGGGACAGATCAGTCTTCATTAGATTGATAGACTATATGGCCATGTAGCCAGTGATTTTAATTATTATTCACTTATTGTTTTGCATTATGATTATGTTATATCATATATATTCATTGTACATTAACTAGAGTTAATTTGTAGGATTAAAAAGTATAAGATAGTTCCTCTAAATACTGAGCCAAGTACTAGAGATGACTAAGATAAGCTGAAATGCAAGAACCTGTACGTTAAAGCCTGCAAGACTTTAGCTTAGCTATTTTAGGCCTTGGAGACAAGAAATGATGACATAAGTGACTGAAAAATAACCCGATGCCCAAGACTATGGGAAAAGAGGTACCAAGTGATAATATTGTGCAAAATTACCCAGAAGATTAATATTAGATCATAAAAATACCACAAAGGTGCATCTGTCTCAGACATGTGTCTTAACCATGGGATACAGCTTGTGCGTCAATGCTAATGAGAATAAAGGGAACTTACCCAGCTTATAAAAAATTGGGGCCCATTAAGTTTCCAGGGGAGACCGACCAATAAGGGAAAAGAGGGTGGACACTTTTATGGACACACACAGAATGTAGGTGTAGACAGAATCACAGTATAAAAAGGGGATGTCCAGAATGGGAAAACTGAGCTCCCTCTGGGAGACTCCAGCAAGAACCATCCCTCTACTGATGATCAAGTCATGAGAGACCCATCAGACCCTAACACTATTGTCAGGGATGCGAGTGTAACTACATTTGTAAATTGTGCTTAGGTCTGTGTAGAATTTCCATATGCTCGGGTAATCATAACTAACTTTAATAAAACTTATAAAATAGATTAGACCTTGTACTAGTGAATTATAGATGGTCATTATTTTTGGTCTTTACGTGTTCCTAGAGACTCTAATTTTCAGTAACAGAAGTAACAGAAGTGACTTTCACTCTGTTAAGCTTGAAACTGTAGGTGCCAGAGCTGAATCCACGGTGGTGTCACACCACATTACAAAATGTACTTTAAACTTCCACACAAACTTCCACGTTGCTGGACTTTACAAAAATGAGACAAGCCATTTACAACGCACACTTCACTTCTCTACAGAGGAAAAAGGACAGTAAACTATCTAAACTCCTACATGCCACAGGGGGCTACAACAGTGGTACCCTCAACTCACCTAACAATATTGTTAATCTATCCTACCACACACTTAGCCCAGAGGAAGAGTCTGTCCCATCTCAGGGACTCTCATTCTGCCACACCACCCCCACAAACACGATACAGTTCTGCGGTGATCTGGAAGCCTACTTTCATCGTCTCCGACTCAAGGAAAATTTTCAACACACCACTGAACAGTGCACTGACCCACAGGAACCCTCCTACCAACACTACAAGAAGAAGAACTCTGCGTGGACTCCTCCTGACGGTCAAAACGACAGACTGGACCTCTACATAGAGTGCTTCTGCCAACGTGCACAGGCTGAAAGTTTGAACAAACAGCATCACTTGCCCCATAACCTCAGCCGTACAAAAGGCAACGCCATCCGCAGCCTCAGAAACAACTCAGACATTATAATCAAAGGGGCTGACAAAGGAGGTGCTGTAAAAAAACCACCCCTGAGCGACATAAGCTTTGCCGGCATCAGTGGTAATGTGCAGAAAGAGATGGCGGCAGAAGAGCTTCTCCCACCGACATAGCTACCGCCGCTCATTGAGATTGTTTAATTACGTTGACCGGAGCGCTCTTGCCCGTCAGCATAGAGCGGCTACACAAGTGATCTTACATTGGCACAGCTACATCGGTACAGCTGTGCTGCGGTCAGATCGCTAGTGTAGACATGGCCTTAGATTGTCTAGTGTCAACTTTCAGCCATTCGATCATGTTAGACCTTTACCTGCTAGATTAAAGAGACCAATGTTAAATATTTGTCCTCCTCATAGCTACTCAGACTGGGATTAAGTCAGCCCTTAACCTTCCCTTAACTAGACTGAGCTCCTTGAGTCTATCACTATGAGGCAGGTTTTCCAATCCTTTCGTTAGTCTCCTGGCACTTCTCTGACCCCTCTCCAATTTATCGACATCCTTTGTGAATTGTGGGCACCTGAACTGGACACACTATTCCAGCAGCAGTCACACCAAGGCCGTATACAAAAGTAAAATAACCGCTCTGCTCCTACTCGAGGGTCCCCTGTTCACGCATACAGAGATCGCAATAGCCCTTTTGGTCACAGCATCGCATTGCTAAGTTTGTGTCGCAGGAGTCAAAGCTGAGTCCCTTCAAACTCATGTCACACACAAAACACCAAACAGCCAGTGGATGGCTACACTGAACCCCAACCACACAGGGAAGCTAACCCCCCCAATGCAAAGCTCCCCCATGGGACCAGCTGGGAGAAGTGGGTGAGTGGGGAAACCCCTCCCCGACAGCTGTCCTTCCCCACATCCCCCACCTCCTGGAGACAGGCAGCCAATCAGGACTTCCAAAGTAGGCAGCAGGGCCGAGAGTAATTGTGGGAGAGAAGTAGGGAGTGTAATAATCTCTCAGGGTGGCTCTGCTCTCCTTTCCCACCGCCTGCTCCATCCCTGCAAGCCCGGCCCTGGGAAGCAGAGTCCCCTGTTTGGAGCTGCCCCCTTTAGGCTTGGAGGCAGTAAAGACTCTCAAGATTTGCAGGAGGAGCAAATGTGTGGAAGGTGGGCTGTAGAATTGTGGGGATGGTGGGCGGGGTCAGAAAATGATGGGTCTGGCTGGACAAAAGGGGGTGCTGGGAGACCGGGGGCAGGCTCCCCCAATTTCCCCTTCTTAGGCCTCGTCTCCCAGTGCGCCTCAAAGCCCCAAGTCTGGCATCCTCATTCTCAGCCGCCACAAAGTCTGCCCTCCCCCAGGCCCTGCGAGGTCCCAGCCTCACAGACAGAGCAGATGTGACTTTGAAGCAGGAGGAACCTGTGGTGGCTTTATAGCAATTACTGTGCCAACCCCGTCCACTTCTTGCCCACCAACCCCATCCCCAGCCCACATCCTACCAAGCACACATGCCGCATGGAGAGGGAGAGTCACATACCCCCATGCCCTCCCAAATAGACCCAACAAATGCCCACATCTCAGTGCCAGGTGAGCAAATCACTGTACAAACAGCTCCTATGCCCCACCCTAGAAGTGGCTGCATCCCAGCGCTAAATAATTTCAGGGATTTCATGTTCATTATACCATGTTTTAGGTGTGGTATTTTCTAATAAAACAACCTCCAGAGAATGAGAATTATAATCCAGTGTCAAAACAGAGCCCTCACCTGCGTGTGCAAATATATCTACACTAACTTTAGACCACGCCTTGAACTGTTCATTGCTTATCAACATAGCCTCTTTTACTCTGTTTAGGTTGGCACTGGGGGCCTGTTTCACACATTTTAACAATTTCTCTCTCTCATTGTTCATTTGTGGCCAATACAGTATCTCTCCGGCTCTGCACTTACATTTCTCCATGTCCAAGCGTCCTTCATGTCCTCTTGTGAGCATGTCAGCTTGGATCGTGTTGATATGTAATGTCTTGGCCACCCGATGTTAATAGCCTCGAATACCCTCTGTAAACTCCCAGCATTAGCTGTAGCCTCAGCAAATTCATTCCAAAACCTTTCTGAGACTGAGCACCAGACCCCACACCCCTCTCAGAGCTGGGGATAGAGCCCAGGAGTCCTGACTCCCAGCTCATTCAAGCTTCCCTTTTGTCTAGTCCTTGAGGGTCATTTTATATGAATCATAGCATGCATTCATTTGCATAGCAGCAGAAACTCCCACGTGAAGCCTAAGTATCATGAACAGATTTAGCACTGGTGAATGAAGCCCTTGATTTATCTCTTGCTGATCCGGATTCATGGGGGAGGCGGGGAACACTTTCTGTAGGGTAGCAGGGGCACATCAGATTTCATAGAATTACAGACCATAACGCCAGAAGGAACCGCTTTGAGCATCTAGTCTGACTTCCTATGTAACGCAAGCCAGAGAGCTTCTCTGAATTAATGCCTGTTTGAACCAGACTGGAACATTTAGAAAAAGATCCAGTCTTGATTTGAAATTTCCAGTGACAGGGTGTTAGACCCTCAGCAGGGGCGTTTTTACGGGATGGGGGAGCAGGCAGATACTGGACACAATGCTGGTATATAATACTTTAAATACTTTTTATGGTTTATAAAATGGATCTTATTTACTTTACATTTATACCCCAAACATACTATACCAGAGCCCAGTAGTTAGACGTTTTGATGGTTAGTTGGGGTTTAGTTTAGTTACAAGGTGCAGGGAGTTTACAAGTACCACACCATATATAAACAGGGCTTTGGATTATTGAAAGATGTTAAATTGCAAATGCGTGAAGTTTTTATTTATAATTTACTTGGTGATGTTATTAGTTTTTTGTTTTTGTTGTTTTGGGCCTTTACCCTTTGTTTTAAAGAGACAATTTTGGGCAGGCTGCCATGATCCAACACACGCCGTTTTAAAAAATTTTATACATTTTTATAGCAGTTCCACTGGTGTTATTTCTTTATCTGCTGATCCTTCATTTTTTCCCAAGGACATAAAGTTATTTGGTACAAATAGGTTTTGACCGCTTGACCTTTAAGTTCTTGCCTTGGTTGCCAAAATGAAGGTTTTCAAACACACAACAGCCACACTAAACCCCCATGGCCTATAACATATTATATAGATATATAGTTTTTTTATATCCCAATATTCCCCATGTTGATACATGATATAATAATTAATGGTATTAATTACTTTATAATTTTGCAAGCCATTTAATTTTATATATTATTTGCCTTAGAATTTTTGTTGATTTTTTTATTTGGCAGTATAAACATAACAAAGGTTAATAAAATTATTAATACAAATAGTATAACCATAGGATGTAACATTAAATTTGGAAAAGCTGTAAAGCTTGGAAGACCATTTTTTAAAAACATTATACTAATGATGGACTGTTAATTTTTGGGGTGGCTTTTTTAAAATTTTAATATTTGACCATTGTGGACTGGAAGGTTTACTTTTTTTTAATGATCAGATTTAGATATAATTCACTTTGTGATGTCATTAGTCTTTTGTGTCTGTTGTCCTTGGCCTTCACCCTCTGTTCCAAGGAGACAGCCCTGGGCAGGCCACAATGATCCAAGATGCACCATTTCCTCCAATTCTGATACCCCAGTGGGACAGCTATAAAAATGTAGTTTCCTTATCTGCTGATTGCTTACATACAAAACAGCTTGGAAAAAAATGAACAAAGTCAGAATGAGCTCTCCCCTGACATCTTGTGGTGAGCTGTGGAAAAGGATTTCAGGGGCTGATTTCGTTCGCATGGGCACACCCACCCTGCCTAGCAGGATAGCACTGCTTGCCCAAATGGTCACTTTGGCTGCTGTGGGATCCCCGGTCTCTTTGTGATTGGGGCAGGAGTAATAAAGTGTTGTTATCCTGGTTATGTGAATCAAGGACAGAAGAACTGTACTTGGCATTTTATGACTGAGGGACTCACCCTCAACTAAGCAGCACTTGCTAGGCAAGGGACATGGGTTACAAAGCCCAGGGAATTGAGAGAGGCGCTGGGGACAGATATTTGTTCTTGGCAGTATGGGCCCTGTTTGAGACCACTTTCATCCCTCATTTCTCCACTGTGTAATAACAAAATTAAGTTTGACTCAATTAGGAGTCTTGTTACATACTGCAGAACTAAAGTCACTGATATGTAGGTTCAACTAAATAGAACCTACTTTGGGCTGTGTTGGGGGGTGCTGAAGACATATTGGGGAGCTAGCAGGATGGCTCGCGGAGAGATGTGGGCAGCTGGAGGAGAGGACTGGAGTAGACTCCCACAGAGAAGCGTGGCAATCAGCTGTTGAGGGCTCGAGCAGCAGAAAGCATGAGATGTCTCCATGCCTCCCCCCCCATTTCAACCCAGGCTGGGAGATGAACTCTGTAGATGAACTTCTGAACTCTGGTGCTGCACTGACCAAGGACAGAAACTGTGGGTAGGGTGACTTAGGTTGCTGGACTTAAAACCCTGAGGGGAAAAGGACACTGCCAAACTTACTTGGGGGGGGGGTTGAGTCTTTTGCTCATGCCGCATCGTTTCCCTATTTATTAAAAGGCTTTTGTTTCCCTCAGACTCTGTGCTTGTGAGAGGGGGAAGTATTGCCTCTTAGAGGCAGCCATGGGGGTGGTATGTAATTGTCCCAGGTCACTGGGTGGGGGCTCAAGCCGGTTTTGCATTGTGTTGTTGAAAAGGAACCCCTAGATACTGAACCTGGCCCTTGTTGCTGCCAACTCTGATGGGCAGAAGAGTTACGTGTACAAATAGGTTTTGACTGCGTGACCTTTAAGTTCTTGCTTTGGTTGCCAAAATACAGGTCACGCACTCAGGTTTCAAACACACAACAGCCACACTAGGCCCCATAGAGGATATCATATTATATCCCAACAAGGGAATCCACCACGACCCTTGGTAAATTGTTGCAGTGGTTAATTACTCTCGCTGTTAAAAATGTTGTGCCGTATTGCCAATCTAAATTTCTCTAACTTCCAAGGCTTTAGCTTGTGTTAGACCTTTGTCTGCTAGACCAGGGGTTCTCATCTTTTTTCTCTGAGGCCTCCCTCGACAGCCTATAAAAATTCCAGGGCGTGGGGGGGGGCAGCAGAGGGGCCTTGGGCACAGGTGCAGTTTGACTATTATTTGGGGGGGGGGTACAGGGGACAGTGGGGCCTGAGCCCCACATAGCAGGTGGGGGGCTTAGCTCAAAAAGTTTGAAAACCGCTTAGGGTGAAGGAAGAGGATAGTTAGGGGCTGTGTGTGGGCAGGGGATAGCTCATGGTGAAGGGGGGTAGCTGGGGCTGTGTGTGGATAGAGGGGCTAATCAAAATGCAGGGAGGGGGTAGCTCACTGTATGGGGGGAGGGGTATTAGGGACTGTGCTGGAAGGACTCCCCTGCGATCCCTGTTCCCAGAGGGGTCTGCCAGCCATGGACCTGGGGGGTGGGGCTCTTACTGGCTGCCACTGTGGGAGCAAAGGGGGCTCGGAGCTTCAATCTAGGGCACCAGCAGGAGAGGCAGGACCACTCCTGCTGCTGCCTGCTCCATGCACCATCCACAGCAGCAGTGGTCCCACATTGCTGGGCTCTGGCTTCCCACCTCTGACCTGCCCGGGGCGGGGAGTGGGAGGTGTGGAGCTGCCCTGGGACTGCTGTGATTTTGCACTGCAGTTTGTGGGAGGGACAATGCCCCCATGTCCCCAATTCTGCCCCTGCGCTCAGGGCTTCTGCCCCACAGGGAACACCGGAGCTCAGGGATTCAGTCCTATGCCTCCCCCAGCTTCAGCCCCGTATGGGGGGGGCGGGATATTGGAAATCGGAGCTTCAGCCCTGCAGCTCCCCCCGTCTCAGCCCTGCAGGGGGATGCCGGGGATTGGGACTTCTGCCGCAGGGCCCCGTGGCCCCCTTGAAAGGGCTTGGGAACTCCCTGTGGGCCACGGACCTCCAGTTGAGAACCGCTGTGCTAGACTAAAGAGTCCATCATCAAACATTTGTTCCCCAGGTAGGTATTCATAGACTGAGATGAGCACTTCTTAGTCTTCACTTCGTTAATCTAAATAGCAATAGATTGAGCTCTTTGAGTTGATCAGGCAAGTTTTCTAATGTTTTAATCATTCTCATGGCTGCTCTCTGAATCCTCTCAAATTTATTAATATCCTTCTTGAAGCGTGAGCTCCAGAACTGGCCACAGGAGTCCAGCAGTGGTCACACCAGGACCAAATAAAGTAAAATAACCTCTCTGCTCCTACTCCAGATACCCCTGTTTATGCCTCCAAGGATTGGCCACAGCATTGCGCGGGGAGCAACTTCACCCAGGCAGTTCTTGTTATCTCTGCTGATTCTACCAATTAGTGCAGGGTGGCCTGGTAAGCTTGTGTCATGGGAGCCACAGCTGAGACCCTCCAGCACTATAGGGGGACCAGATATGGGGCAATGTGGGTCTGGGTGGGTGGGTGAGGGGGGGGGAAAGGAGCTGAGGGGGGGGAGGAGCTGAGATGGTATTCCCCATTTTTCCCCCCTTCATCCCTTTTCAGACCCCATCTTCCTGTCTGTCCCCCCTGCCCAGCCCATCCCCCTCACTCTCAGCCACCCCAAAGTCGGCCCCCCTCCATTCCCTGATGGGTCGAGGCCTCACAGACAGAAGAGATGTGAGCTTGTAGCAGGAGGAAGCGACTGTGGTTTTACAGCAGGACTGAGCAATTGCAAACACTGCATCCACTTTGCACCTGCCGGACCCTCCCCCACATCCTACCGAGCACACACCCCACAGAGAAGGGGAGTCGCACGTGTGACCCACTCCCATCACAGAGAGTCTGGGGGGGGGGGGGAAACAGAAAAGAGAGGGCACTAAACCCAGGGGTCCTGATTACCAGCCCTCCCACCACACAAGACACTAGAGCTCCATTCCTTTCCCAGAGCCGAGTCGTCCTGATGTACAGGCCTCCTGCTGTAACCCACCAACCCCACTCCTCTCCCACAGCCAGCCAAGGATAGGACCCAAAAGTCCTGAGCCTCCAGCTGCCCCCATTCCCCTGCCAGAGGGTTACTCGCTGGGCACCCATGTGGAGGAGTCCTGCTTTCCCCAGTCCCTCTGATTGGCACTTACCTGCGCACAGGTAGAGGATCAGAGGCAGGGGGTCCATCCTGCGCTGGGTGAGGGGTGTCTATGGAGCGTGGATGCTCTCGTAGGACGTGAGAGGTTCAAGGGCACTGCCCGGAGAGGAGGCAGCAGAGCTCAGAGGAAAGATAAGTGCTATCTGAAAAGAGAAACACTGCCAGGGGTGGAGCAGGGACTCAGGGTGTTATAGGGTGGTAATAGAATGGAGAAGAATGGGAAAAAAGCCAATTACACTGAAACACCCAACTGGTCAGACACACACAGCTGTGTGGAGACAGATGAAAAACAAACAAAATGACTAAACACCCACACCCTGAACTCCCCCCTCCATGCCAGTGGTCAGCTAGCCATTTTCCACCCTCCCCCACCCTTTGTAAATTCAAACATCCCTCTAGTTTCATATCTTGGGGAAAATACTGCGCACACACCTATCCTGAAACAAACACACACGCAACCAGACAGACAGACAGACAGACAACTGGACAGACAGACACACACAGCTACTCTGAGAGACAGATACACAATTAGAAACAACTGGAGTGAGACATGCACACAGCTAAACAGACACTCTTACAAACTCAGGGCCATCCTTGGGCACACGCAGAATATGCAGCTGCATAGGGCAGGGCACCTGAAAATTTGGGGCACCCCTGGGTCTTAATATCCACCCATCCGCCTCCTCCTATGCTTTTTTATGGCAACTGCAGCCTGGTGAGTCTTCCTCTGGAGGGAATCTAGGCCTTGTCTACACTAGCAAGTTGGAGCACATTTAAATCAGCCCCGGGCGCCATAACTCCTGAGGTGTCCACACTGGCAAGGCATATAGAGTGCCTGGAACCTGCAGCTGGAGCGCCCCTCGTAATCCACCTCCACGAGAGGCATAAAAGTTTCTGCGCCCGGGCTGAAGCGCCGCAGTGCCAGTGTGGATGCCCTGGCCTATTACTGTGCTCTGATTGGCCTCCAGGACGTGTCCCACAATGCCTGTTCTAGCCACTCTGGTCATCAGTTTGAACTCTACTGCCCTGGCCTCAGGTGACCAACCATCAGACCTGTCCTTTAAATTATCTGGGAAATTTGAAAGCATATCTTTCCAGGCAACCATGCCTCCATGCGCCAGGTGATCCCCAGCAAGATCCCTACTTATACAGCCCAATATGATGTTGGCCTTCTTGGCAACAATTGCACACTGCTGACTCATAACCAGCTTCTCATCCACTGTAATCCCCAGGTCCTTTTCTGCAGAATTATCTCTCAGTGTTTGGAAAGAGCCCAGCACTCCAGTGATCTCTGCTGCTGATACTGTGCTGAAGGCTGTTGACAAGTTCTGCTATCTTGGAAGCGTACCCTCCTCCGGTATAAACACTGTTGACAATGTAATTGCTCGATTAGCCAAAGCCAGCGCTGCTTTTGGAAGATTGACCAAACGCCTATGGAATGACGCTGGTGTTAAACTTCATAGGAAGGTAGCAGTTGGTCAGGCAGTTGGACAGTCACCAGTTGTCCTGTTGTATGGATCAGAGTCATGGACCATATATTGCTCCACATTTTGAAACTTGATCAGTTCCATATGCGCTGCCTCAGGAAGATTGCTCATGTGAATTGGTGGGACAGAATTCCAAACACGGAGGCCTTTTAGCTGTGTGGTATCATGGGCACGGAAGCAATGCTTACGAACAAATAGTTTCTCTGGATTGGTCCAGGGATGGTCTAGACAGTATTTGGTCCTGCCATGCGGGCAGGGGACTGGACTTGACCTCTCGAGGTCCCTTCCAGTCCTATAATCTATGAATCTATGGTCATGTTATGAAGATGGATGACACATGGATACCGAAGATTGTCTTCTACTGCCAGCTTGTTTGTGGAAAACACTCCTTTGGTGGTTAGTATAAGCCAGTGGTCCCCAACATGGGGCCTGTGGGTGCCATGGCGCCCGCCAGGGCATGTATGTGCACCCATCTACTGGCTGCTGGACTGCTAGGGGCAGATTTTCATACAATTCAAGCACAGGTTACCACAATTACACTCAGGTGTGTAAAACGCAAGTGCAAATTGTCAATTCTGTTGTTCCTTTATGTGTGTTATTGCAGTAGTTAATTGGGTGATTACAGATGCACTTTGCACAGATGACTGCACCCTACGTCTAATTGCAAATGGAGCTCTAGGGCTACAGATACCTTCTGAAATATAAGACCCAACACCAAATTTCTTAACAAGAACTGCATATGTAGTTCCCACATGGATTCTTATTGCTTTAATTAACTTCTACTGTCCCAACATGAGAACTGGAAATGCCATCAGAAATTATCTTCTGCATCTTTCAGTTTCCAGGCTGCTTACTGAACATTATATCAGATAAGCCACAGTAGATACCTCCTGTCACTCAGGCCCTCTCTATGGTGTAGCTTCTTGCCTTAAACTATTTCCAGCCTTGATACCATGGGTCGCAGCCAGTGAGAGGCGCATCTCTGAGAGCTCTAGAGGGGACAAAGCTCCAGGGACTCCAGGTGTTGTTACCACCACATCATCTGAATCTGCTCACAGCAGGATCAAGCTCCACCACCTCTTCCACCACAGCTGCTGTTGTGGCAGCCACACCAGGGCTAGATCAATTCTCAGTCCAGACACCAGGGCCCCTTTTGAGTGTGGGCCTGGTGCCATGGTGCCAATTGAAACCGGATATTGGTGGCAGTTCAATCATGGGAGGTTTCCCACCAATTGCCAGAGTAAATGCTGCAGACATGACCTCTCAGCTCACCCCCATGAATACTGACTTACAGGTTTAGCTCTTTACTTACTCAGCCACTTTCACTGCAAATTTCAACACCAACATCTTGGTGCTCCATCGTGTGGTGTTCCAGCAGATGGGCAGGGGTCGGTGCATTACCTGCATGGATTTTTGTTGCACAATTCTTGCAGAGCATGCTGGAAAGAATTTTTCAAAAGCAATTCGTTTACCAGATTTTAAGCTAAAGCTATTAACAATTTGGTCCGTTAGATGCAGACGTGATCATTCCCACTAGAAGGCTAGGCCAAAATACTCACTGTGGGCAGATTCTACCACCCCTCTCCCCCCACATTCTGTAGTTCTCTTCCTCTGCAGGGAGAGCCATTGGAATGATTCATAATTTTTTTTCTTTTTTACAGAAACAATGTGGCGATTCTGACGTGATTTCATTAAATGTTGTGTTTGTCATGGGTGCACAGGGTTGATGCTCTGGAACGGCTCTGAATGAAGTTCAGACAGGACCCTCTTGCAGTGCCAGGGCACACTCTCCCTTGGCTTCAGCATCTCCTTGGATCTCTTCCGACCTTGGAGCAGTCAGCACCCCTGTGGTGCCATGAGCGCCCCAGAGTGGGGAAGCCTTACATGCCCCTGAAAGGGCCATGCACCCCAACTTCAGTCAGCAGTGACTCAGCCAGCGAGGTAAAGCAGGAGGGTTTATAGTCGTCTGGAACACGGTGTAGAACAGATCTTGTTAGCACAGAAAGTAGGAAGATTCAGCAAAGTCCATCCATTAAATCGCCAGCTTCAGTCTGGTCATAGCCACAGGAGCTCAAACTTTATACAGTTTGACTTGTGCAGCGGGCAGGCTGCCCCAGGACTGCGGCCAGAGAGGACGACTCCCCCTCCCGGCACTCACCCAACCCAGACTCCACTCATCCCACCTGGAGAACCAGAGTGCAGTATCCAGCCTGACTCATAAATGACCTCCCCCGCCAGCCTCCGCTTGAACCAAAGCCCATCAGAAGAAAGACTTATGAAAAGCAATGAAATGTCAGTGGGAGACACCCCTAAACCCCCAGGGTAAAGGTGACAGGATTAAGGAAACTCCCCTAACCTCATTTGCATCAAAGCTGGGACAGGGAGGCATCATCATTAGCATACAGCAGGGAGAACAGAGATTCCAAGGCAAGAACTGCACTGAACTCTGGGACCAGGGAAGCAGGGAAGCACTGCATCATGGGGGATCTCTGCTCCAAATGAAGCCATGCCTGCACACACCCACTTATCAGACCAATTCTAGTAATAAATCCTCTATTGGTATCCAAAATACTGAAGTTGCCTAATTGCATTATGAGCTCCCTTGAAGGAGCATCACCAATAGCCAGGAATGATCAGTTCCTGTTGTCTACCCTGAACAAAACAACTTTGGTATTCTCCCTTGAGCCATCAGTTTATCAAACAAATCTAGTGTTATTGCCTTGTAAAAACCCCTACCCACTCTCGTATGGGCTCTGATGCCTGGATCCAAATTTTGCATCAGTTCCATTAGGACTTCATCTTCTCCTGATGGATTATGCTGGGGGCTCTTCCAGTCTCCAGCACTCCGGACCCTCTGCTACCACCATCACCTGTGAACCTTGATGGTTTTATGCTTCACGGAATGCTGTGAACCCACCTCTGTCTCTCTCTCGGTGTAGCCTTCTGACCACGACTTGTGTGATCAGTTATCGTTTGCTAAGCCCAACATTGTAATCAAATTTAAGTTCGATTTAATATTGTAACTTTTGTTTGTTTGGCTCCTATGGTTACTATGTAATAATAGGATTTTATGTTTATATTTTGTATGATGAAAGATAAGGATAATAATGTAGTATGTATTAATGTCTATTAATACATACATTATTATCCTCTGAGCCATTGGTAAAGATGCATCAGCCAGAATCTTGTGTCTGAAGCGGATTTCAAGGCAGTACTAGACCTTTAGGGTCACCACTTGTTAAAGAATGGAAGTATTATTTTCTCCTGCATTTCAATTCGATGTTCCTGTACAATTGTTCAACTATGCTGTCTTGTTTTGTGTGTGAATGAGGAATGTGTGTGTAGGAAAATAAGTGTGAAGGCCATCACTGGACCAGATGTTCTAGGGAGGTACCGAGGACAGACTAATGGTGCCAGGAGATTTCAACATGCCCATACTGAAATGTCAGAGGAGGGCAGATTGATGACTCTAAAGATGAGGCAGGCACCTATCAATCTGGACAGAATAGCTGTGATCAAAACCAGCATGGGATAACTCCCTGAGAGACTGATGAAAGAACAAGGATGAGAAAAACAACTTGAGAAAACAAACACGGATTACAGCATGATGATGCAAAACTCATTGGTCCCAATAAAGGAAAATCACT